GTTATCTCATGTGCTAAGAAACCTCCAACATTTTCAAAAAGGTTTACTTCCTCACTTACAAATCTCAGAGAAGTTTATCTGTGCCTGCTACTTCACAGATCTGAATTGCAATGTACTCTGCCTTGGGTTTTGTTTGTGGGGTTTTTTTTAACTTGTTCATTGCCATAAAATTATTTCTGCCTCATGCCTGTTCCCATCTGATGTTCAGACCGAGTTGTCCTAAAGTTGGTTGGGCATCATTGTTGTAGATTACCTAATATTTCATCAGGGGATGAAGCACTGAATATCTCTTACAGAAGTTAATGGAACAAAATCTGTTTAATTAAATTGTAACTGAGAATTCAGCAGAACAAGTGCTGCATCATTCAGGTTGTAAACAGAATGCTGCTTCTAGCCACCTTTATAAAACAGGCTGCTAAGCGCACTGTTTTTCCTGGACCTCCTTCTAAAGCTTCTCATTGACTTAAATAGGCCAGCCCAGTATGTGCTGCTTTTTTATGAGTCCATATGGAGTAATTTTTGTTAAGAAACTAGCTCCTAAAGTACCTGTAAAGCAATGCCCCTTCCCGTGCTTCAGTAATGCTAAACCAGCTGCTCTGCCTCCTAGCTGAATGTGTGGGGACAAGGACCATCGTCATAACAATGCTACCTGCTGAATCTGACTCACTGCAGCTCCTGCTGGGAGAAGTAATAAAATGTACATTCCTCTGTGCCAGCAAGATCTGCCACAATACAGGGAGGATTCACTTCCAAGTTCAGATTTTCTAGTTGTAATTTTCCTCCCTCACTCTTCTTGTATTTTTTAAGTACTGCGGGAGAACTTTAGATTATGGTGTCTGAGGAGACTACCTGCGGAAGCTGAAAAAGTCTGAGATCTATATTCGTGCTTTCAGGAGTATTTCTTGATGGGAGTGTTGTATTCTCTGCACCACAGGAAAGAGAAAACAAGGCCAAGTACATCTAGCTCTACAGCACAATTGAGAGCGGTGTGAACAAACCCCTGTCTGCAGCACGCTTTTACCTGATGAACGTTCAGGATACAGACACTGACAGTCTTGGTAGAAATAGCTGTGGGGGAAAATTACCTGAAACGTTACCATTTACCTTACAACTGCAACTTTGTGTCTTGAAACATTGACATTCCATCTGTAATTTAATCTCTGTTATTAATGAATTGTGGAAACAGGGCACTTTCCCTAGACCTTCAGACTGTGTATGGAGTCTGTCAGTGAATAACAACACTAAACACCCATGTAGTCTTTTAGACACTCTAAAAAGAAATAGCTGTACATACAAAAATAGATATGCAGCTCTTTTTCAAATTTGTAACATATAGTAACCGTCTAGATACTGTCCTGGGCAACCAGAACTAGGTGGTCCTGCTTGAGCAAGGAGGTTGGACAAGATGACATCCAGAGGTCCTTTCCAACCTCAACCAGTTTGTGATTCTGTGGGTATGTTAATTGTCTTTCTTTAACTCATTCGTATTACACAATGTCTTTTGAAATCATTCATCTGTCGTGGTCAACAAAGGTCACTGTTTTAAAAGACTTCTTTAGTAAATATCCTAAAGGAGCTTTTCAAATAATTATAATTAAATTCTGCACCTTTGTCTTCTGCTGTACTGAGTGATATTTTGTCCAACCCAAACTTTTCTATGATTCTATAAACCTACAGAAGATCTTATAAGGACTTAAGGATGACAGTGTTAGATTCAGGAGAATCGCTGTATATTAAAAATGTAATCAGATGTACAGATAATAGTAGGCACTGAAAGGAAAGATTTTATAAAACTATTTCAATTTCATGTCATGTACAGTGGATTGAACAAGAAGCTCTGTTCTACTCTGGGAGGATTTAAATGCCACCTTATTTAGTTTGAGAATAAAGAGATTTGTTATCTGTTCTGTGTACACAGAAGATGCAGCAGAATGGATTTGTTGCGCACAAATCATGGCTACGGTAGTGCTGAGAACAGTGTAGATAAAGGGGTTAGTATGGCTACAGGCAAACAGTGATTATTTATGGACTTCAACATGCTTTTTGTGCATTGCTAGAATGAACAATGATTAGATCTGAACCCTACAAAGAGTTTTAGGGGCTTGGTGGAACAGGTACAGTTAATCTGTGTTTGGTTGCTAAACTGACTTAATAATAAGAAAGTCATGTAGGTGTGTGTTTTACCCTTCTTTAACTCAAATTACATTAAACATTATGTAACAGTCAAATAGTAGAATTAGATTTACGAATACCTCAAGCAGATATTCAAGACTGGTCGCATCTGTTGCTTATGGAGAGTGAGACATGACATGCAAGACTTCTTTTCCTAAGAACTGTGCTATAGGTATTCTGATCACAGATAACTCTTTGCAGAACACCATTTCAAATCTTCTATCTTTGAGAATTTACAAATGAACACGAGGATTATATGACATTATTGATTGTATTTTTCAGAAGTTTTTGAGTCAGTTGATTCTTTCTTAACATACTAATTTAATCACACACTAGTGAATTTGTTCTTTTACCAGTATGCAAATTAATTACCACGATATTGGATATTATGAAGCCTACTAGCTACATACTGGTAGGATGCAGACAGTATGTAGTTACATGACATTAGCCAATAATCACATGAATGTATCATTATTAGCTCACCTTGTGAGATTCCACCTTAGTAATGAATATCTTAAAGAACTGCTGGTAATTGTTCTTATATCTGAAATCGTGACCTGTTTTCAAAGCAATTTAATGTCATAATAGTTCAACAATGAAATACATGCTTTTAGACATTATAGCCAGCCACAGCATTTACAGCTGTGCAAGCAAAACCAATATGTACAATCAGCTCTTACACTTTAAAATAAAGGGGAACCTGCAGATACCAAGAAAATACAGCATTATCAGTGGTTCAGTACAGTATGGGGTTTGAAGTAACAAGTATTTTATGATTCATTACTGCAATTACACAGTACTATTCTTAATGTAATGTAGTAGTTGTTATAATTATGTAAGAATATATCCTATGACATAACACAATAAATGTTGAACTGATCTGTGCAGGATGATGCTGAGTATGTAGACTCAATCCATTTTTATGGTGGTGTCATCCAGTATAAAGACAGAACAAGCCAGAGATCCTTCAGAGGCTATAAAAGTGCTCTTTTTTTCCATATTTTTAAAATTAAGGGCAAAATCCTGGCCTCCACTGAGGTTAACGTCAATTTTACCAAGGGAAGCAAGATTTAATTTCAAATGTAGAAAGCAGGAAACTTTTCAGCATGCTCCCCTTTGTCTCAGTTTTCTTCACTGGCACAAGTTTTTCTGAATTAAGTCCTAGAATGACTTATGTGCTGACAAATAGTCGAGACAAATAATCTTTTTGCTATACTTTGAAAGTGTTTAGCTTATATTAGATCTCTAAAATGGATTGCATTTTTTATCTCCTCTCCTTTTTTGCCTTTCCCCTGTGTATGATATCCATCAAAAAAGTTTGGGGATCAGTCATCCCAAACGTTCTACTACTCAAGAGTATTTGATTACCACTACGTCTGCCCACTGAGATCAGAAATGAGCCACACATCTTAATGCCCTTTAGGTGTTTGTAGCAATATGTTCATCAGTGTGTAGGTTTTATAGTAACAAGCTCACTGGGGAGAGAGGTATCTTTATGATACTGCATAACCAGTCGTCAGGACAGGGGGATGAGTAACTTTTACCTGTCAGTGGGACAAGCCGTGGTTTATAGATCAGTTAAGTGCAGGATCTGACACTTCTGCCAAAGTAACATTTACATTACCAAAGAGGGAAGTTTTAGCACTCTTGCTAAAGTATAATCAAATAAGTGAAAGGTATTTAGGACTATCACACTATTTAGGAAAGTGTGATTGAATCTGCACTCCTCAAGGACCCCGAGAAATAGATTGCTATAAAAGCTAACATACTTTACCAGCAAAGGTTCTCTCTGAGGAATGCAACCTGAGACATAAAGCACATGAAAAGACAAAATTCCTGATGAAGTAGGTCAAGAAAATGTATGCCACTGAGTAAACCAGTGGCATATAGCAACATTTTTTTAGGTTTGGTGGTTTTATAAGAAAATTAAGTGAAAGATTTTGGGTTTTTGCACTGACCTTTCTATTTTTAAAAATGTCCATATGTTACATGTAAATATTTTTAATTTTTAAGGTTGATTTTAAATACCTGGCTGTATAAAGGCATTTTTTTATATTTTTCATCCAAGAGTATGACAAGTCTAGAGAACAAAGGCAATGTGAGAAAGCGTTTTGCTTTCTTCTTACTGAAAATATTTAAAAGGGAGTCAGCCAAGAATGCATACCAGCAAAAACAACAGACAGAAAGTTGTACATATTGGCAATGTTGATTTTATGCCATTTATGTAAATACACAATTCCTTCAAAAAAGATAATCTTACCCATTGTACGTGTCTGACCTACCAGACTGCCAGCCCTTTTCCCCATTCCTAGCTGTGGTTAATGGAAACCAGTACTGTGACCTTTCTCCAAACTTAATTTTCATTTCCGTTCTTCAGCATCTGTATGCTGAGCAACTTACTATTTTTTTTAACATCAGCCTCCTAAATCTTTAGTTCATAGGAGAGTTCAAAGAAGCCATCAGTGGAGGCTAAGATACCATTCAAACCAGTTCAGATCATCTGCATTCAAATCAGTTGCAGGGAGACACCAATTTTTTATAACATAGAACCTAACTGTCCTTTGGGAAATGATGTGCTAGAGATGGGAAGGGAGTCATTTTGGAAGATGCACAATTAAATTTGCAAAGTGTCATAAGAAACACAGATTAATGTTTTCTGTAAACCTAAGCATGCACAAGTTTAGCAGCCGCCCAACTATGTGCTTGCAAGAATACAGCATTAATGAAATGTAGTCCCATGAGGGAAAGGGACTGTCCTGTCTAGGTTAATATGAAATCTTTGTTTTGCTTCTGTAATTAATTTCATTTTATTTTCGTGAACATTTTAGGTGTATCAATACATGCATGAAACCATAACTGTTAATGGCTGCCCCGAATTCCGAGCCAGGGCCACTGCAAAGGTAGGATACGTGCAACTGTTGAAATATGTGTTACCAAAGTGACCTAGTAATTGACTGTGCGCGTGTGTGTTTCAGGTATTCGTGTGTACACTGTAAGAAAATTTAGACATCAGTGGCAGCCCAGAGTCTAGAACCAGTGCTACTTCCCAGGTAACAATCATAATGGAAAATTTCAACCTTTATGCTGCTTCTGTAGCTTAAGAAAAGAGAATGATTTTATGGAAATTGATGCTTTTTGAAAAGTTGCTTTGCAAAAGCAAATCTACTGGTTCGTTCTGTAGAAGTCTGCCTGCAACAACCAATATTTTAATGGACTGTTTTCCCATACAGCTCATCCAGAGAGGACACGATTTGGGAGATAGAAACTAAACAGTCAAAATTCCACTTTAACGAATGGGAACTGTAGGTACTGAGCAAGTGGTAAGGATGAACAGTGACAAAAATTGCCTGATCAAGAGACTCCATAGCGAGATGCAAGCCCATTTTTTTCTGATGCATTACCTGTTTTAATAAAACATATTGTCTCTTTGTCCATGTGGACCTGTCTTTCTCATATCCTTAGACCATGACAGCTACATTACTGCTACTACTAAAATGATGGTTAAGGGAATTGACACAACCATGAAAGGACCCATTCTATGTGCCAGTATGAAATATGCTCTGTATTTTCATAACATGCACAAAGAAAGATGCTTCCAAGCAGAGAGGTCCACCATGGCTTTTTTTTCTCCCGTTATCATTTTGTACTCAACACTATCTTCTGGGGCTATGCAAAACGGGTAAACCTGCAAAAGCTGTACATATTTTTTTGAGATACTTCTTTATGATCCCACTTCTGTGAAGTTAGTGATAGAACTCCCTGAAAACTTAATGGAATGAAGATCTTACCATTATGTGTTTGTGTTCAGAGATTTTCATTTAAAGCTCTATCAGAAGATGAAGGTTGGAAGTGTGTTACAAAATGATTTCTGCAGTATTTTAGAGAAGCAAGCTGGATAGCAGCGAGCAAATAACCTAATATGCACAAAATTGCAGTGTGTTTTTCTTACAAAGTAGAATGTTCCTTTCTGTGGACTGTTCCTCTGATTTTCACCTTCTTCTAACTGAAAGTTAATGGACAATGTAAATTTGTAAGGTCTATGCTACTCTATAGAGAAGTGTCTATATGAGATCCTGATTTGTCTACACCACAGGTAAACACAGAAATTATTGATGTTGTATAGTAAGTGGGGAGAAATCCAATTAGTGTTTGCCATTCTCATTTCTTATTCATATAGAACAGCAGGGTTACAGAGCAATGTTTCGATATCGCAATATTTCCTGGTTATTTCTGGGCTGTCTGCATTGCATCCTCCTAGTGCATTCATGTCTGACATAAAATGTATGCATGATGACAAGGTCTGCATGTGCAAAAACATGTAACTGAGAATGATCCATTATGTCACATCATCCACTAGCTTCTATTAAGCATAAGCATTATTAGGACGCTCAAAAACATTAGTGTAATGCAGAATTGTTCGAGCAGTTTGGACTACAAACACACATTGAAAAGCATAAAAGATTTTCTTAATCTTTCTTTAACGATTTACTGAGATCTGTAAGTAGGAAAGTGATTGTAATTTGTGATTGAAAAAAGTGATTGAAAAATTAAATGTAAGATGTAATATTTTTCTGGATGCAAGCTTTAAAGTTTGTTACTTTTTTTTTTTGCCATTATAAGATTAACAGTCTAGGATTTTTCTAATTGATTTATAAATCCATTTTCCTAAAATTTAATTTTTCAATAAAAGTTTTAGTCCAATTCTACTATAAGAAATGCATATTCCTGTTCCAGGAGTTAGTTCACAAGACTTCATAGAGATTATAAATTAAACTTTTTAAAATAAGAATATCCGTTTAGGATATTTTTCTGCGCCCAAAGAATGAAATAAACAATACTGTACCTCTGACAGCAGAGCAGAGAGTTAATAATTCAGTTCATCCACTTTATTTCAACTAGGAACACAGTAGATGTCACATTGTCCTATCCCAGAGTAATAAATTTTCTCCCTGTCAAAGGCAAAGAAGAAATACACTAGTGATCTTAGGTGTTCACCACCACGCAGTCAGGCTTCCCGATGCCTACTTCTGGCTCTGCTGCTAACTTTCTGCGTTATCTTTGACAAATCACCTAAACTCTCTATTCCTCTGCTTATTCCTTTATTTCAAAAGCATTGGCATGGAACTTAACTTTCTAAAAATGCTTTCAGGTGATCAGAAAAAGTTAGAATAAGATACTGAAATGTTTTCACAGGAATGAATTCTTCCTGCAAATGAACAACAGAGTGTGTATCAGTGTTCTCCCTACATAGCCAAATCACTCGGTTTTTTTCTTCCAGGCAACAGTTGCTGCTTTTGCTGCAAGCGAAGGCCATTCACACCCGCGAGTGGTGGAGCTGCCAAAGACTGATGAAGGCCTGGGCTTTAATGTCATGGGAGGAAAGGAACAAAATTCACCTATTTATATTTCTCGCATCATTCCTGGAGGAGTGGCAGAAAGGCATGGAGGGCTCAAACGGGGGGACCAGCTGCTTTCGGTTAATGGAGTGGTATGTGGAAATTTGATAGAGCTTTCATTTTCATCTGGATTTTCATTTTTCACAGCTGTTCTAATACCGTGATTTAAAATGCAGCCATACAAAACAAAAAGAATTAGCTCTGTGAGAGACCTTCAGTGTGCATTTGTGGTGCAGTGAGGCAAAGCTGCATCAACAACTTTTGTGCCAGTGCAATTTCTGTTGTAATGGAGGGTGCTTGAAGAGCTTCATTTTAAATCCACACCACATGCTTAATTTACAAGGAAGCTATGTCTTTCTTAATTGATAATTCTGCAAATTCCTTTTGCAGTAAAAGTGTAATAACAGGCTTTGTCGTTCTTGCACTTCATAGCCTCTGAGACACACAGCCCTTTCCAAGCACAGTGATGCCTCAGTGGCACTTGTGCAGCCTTGTGACCTTCAGAGCATTTGAACACATCAAATCAAAAGAAATTCGGTAAGCACATTTGGTACTGATTTGCAATGGAAGGTACACTCCAGATGTCTTTCAGTGATGTTCATCCAGCTGTGATATCTTTGTCAGAGTAATCAGCTGTACGAACGAACACATACAGGGAGCATGTATTTTCAGTAAAAAGGTACGTTTTTTACATAGTTATTTCTCATGTAAGTCAGTCAGTCAGTACTTCAGGGTGGAGTGTTTTGCAGTAGTTTCACTGTGAGTGTCAGTATGGAGGTAAAAATAAAAGGGCTCTTGGAATAGAGAGGAAAAATAAGTCTCTGACTACATGATATGGGTCAAATTCTGTCTTTCATTTTGCTTTTTGTTCCCTTTTACAAGGGAATGTAAAGTATTGAAAGGGTAAGCATACTCATTCATATAAACCTACACCTCTCTTAATAAAAACATAATCTTTTTCATGCAAAACCTCCATCTAAACCTCATATTTAAATACATCAAAGACATAGGAGCAATTCCTGAATCCAGTCATAAATATAAGACTTTCCAAGTTAAATTTCCTCTTTGTTGCAAGCCCATAAAGAAAGAATGTTTTCTACATGCTTTCATGTTGTCATCTGTTTCTCTTAACAATAGCTATTCCCTTTCTCTTGAAACAAAATATCAGTGCAACACTTCAGACAGACTTTTTACGACTTCTTCTATCAACCATCATGTTCTCAAAAGAGAAATAATAGGTCTGGAAGCTTACTTGTCCCTGTACACAATGAGAAAGAAAAGATACAAAACAAAAAAAGAAAACCCATTGAAAAAAATATTTCATCTCAGGGAAAAAGAAATCAACTGAACATTTAATAAGTAAATTGCTGAACTTCACTGATTGGAAGTAGATTAAATTATTTTGTTGTTGTTCAGATCTTCCTTCAACAGGTAAATAAAAAGACAGATTAAAAGGGTTTATAATCACTAATTCAGGGATGGCTCTTGAAAAATCCTTTTACTGTTCAACAGTGTCTAGGCAAAGACCAGGGAGGAAAGTGGTGAACCTTCAAATGTCAAGATATATTGAATTTGACTGTTGTCACCTCTATTCCATGATACTCCGTTCAAAAAAATTAATGAATATGCTCTAGAATATATAATAAGCTCATATAGCAAAAAAACCCCAAATCTAAAATTCGCAATTGCATGTAGGCACATTAGAAGGTTGATTCCGGGATGCAACAGAAATAGTTTCGCGTTCAGAGTCTAAACAACAGAATTTGAAGTTTGAATTGCAGTTGCATGCTTGAAATAATACCTATAAGCGACTGTTCATACAATGATCTTGGGCTGAATTAAGCCCATACAATGTAATTCGTAAAAAGGCAAAAATTACAGAAGTGGTAATTTGTTTGCAGACAGCTTGAGACAGGAGGAAAAAGGTCTAAATTTAACATTGTTCACTGGGACTAGTTCACTCTGTGCTTCTCTCAATTTAGCTGGAGAAAAGCAAATAATATACAGTATGTACAATACAACAGACGGCTCAGCAGTGGAACATGAAATGAAAATGGAATATCTGTAACTTGTTTGTGCTCAGAAGTTGGTGGTTATCCAACTTCATAATTATCAACATAAAATTAGAGCTGTGTGTTCAGAATCCAGATTTGTTATCCCAGCATGACTGGGATGACTGTTCTTTGAGCTGTTTCACCGGATGTTAAAAAAAGTGTTTTCTCATTAATGCTGGGGATTTTGTTACATACTTTAGTCCCACACCCCCTAGAAGTAAAAGAAATTTAAAGCAGTAAGCCCTGCAGATGGCTCGGGAAAGGCACTTACTGGTGGCTGTTCATATCTGGCAAAGATTCTGCATTTGTCAGATACCTGGTGTGAGTCAGATACAGAAAGGGATACAAAACAGATTTATAATGGCTAATTTCTCACCTAAACATTTGCTTACAAGTATCTAATAGAAATAGTCTTCTCAGTTTCTCAACTTGTGGGGTAACAATCAGAGTCTCCTTTTTGTCTGCAAGAGAGTGGATTTTTTTCTTTTATGACAAGCCTGTGGGCCTGGATACAGTAATGGTTGGTGTTTTCCCACACATCTGCAGTTCTTTCAACTGTTCTTGCCTCTACAGTATTTTACATCCCTTTTTTTGATGCAGTCTGCCAATGCAATAAGGGAAATACAGACGTAAGTATATATAAATATATGTAATAAAAAATTACATATTAAATAAAGATATACACGTCTAAACAAATTTATTAAATCCCATGTTTGGTGCGTGGTTCTAAAGTAACATGAGTGTCAGATCCTCACAATGTCCCCAACCAGCGTAATCCAGTCAGCAAAATCCTTTGTACAGGCATGACCGATACCAGTAGGAGTCCTTGGGCAGCACAGCCTCAGAGGTTTGCAGAGGTGGAAGAATTCAAACAGCAAAACAACTTCCTTTGTTGGTATAAGCTCTTTTCCCTACTCCAAGGGGCTCCACTATTTAAGTTGTGCAGCTACTGCTGTGCAGATGAAGCATTTATAACGCCTTGGAAATATGAGTGCAAGCAGCAATGAAGACATTAAGAGCAAGTATAGCAATCATATTAATAGCAGCTGAAAACTGTAGTAGTGAAGACCTACCTGAGTTAGGTAAGTTTGGAGAGTAGGATTCGTATTTAGCTGCCCTATGTTTTACGTTGCCTTTGTTATTTTCCCCTCTTATGTTATGGTTCAGAGCTTTAGGCTTAATTCTGCATCATTACTATTCAAGTCAATGAGAGTTTTCCATTGACCTGGATAGCAACAAAGTCAAACCCTTCATTTCTAATTAGAAAATACTGTCTGTAAACTGGAAGAACAAGGCCAGAGGCAAATGGGAAAGAAAACAGGCAATCATGAATTGAATGCAGTTTACGAAGTTGTACGAAGTATTAAAGTACACCATCTTGTTATTCCCCTACAGAACAGATACAATCAATCACAATTGCTTATTGATGTCAGTTAGAACCATCCAACTCTTTGAAAGCAAATGAGTATTTTAGCTACCTCTTGTAGCTTGGGAGCTTAGAATTTTTGTTCATAGCCCTTTTTAAGTTCATATTGTTCCATAGCAAAACCGATCACACCACCACTGAATACACTGTCATTTCCTCTGAATGTCCATGCCATGTCATCCTGACCACGATTCACAAGCAAAAAATGAAATGTAAAACAATGCCACATTTTATACGCTTCCTCGTAAGGTGAGAACTGTGTTTACAAAAGCCAGTATCAAAGACTGTCACAAAGCAATGAGTTATAAAAGATAGCTAGTTACACTGTGTGTTAGTTATGATCACGTCTTCTAACACTGAGCAGTTACGGGGTAGGGGACATGCAGATGAGGTTTTAATTTGTATCTGTGACTTGTTCATTAAAGCAATTTTACAAAACACCCTGTGCATCTGTAGCTTTTTATTTTAGCTCTCTTTGGAGCATTAGACACATTCACTGTTTCTTATGCAACAACAATTTCCTCTTTTTCAAATATTTGTAACTCTTTTCTCCCTAAATTACTTTTGGATAGCAATGCTTGGTCAGCAGATTTGTCCCAATCACAAATCTGGTCAGCACAGATGATGAATTTTCTTGAAGATCTTTGAATAGGAGACCTACTGGAGGAATTTCATGAACATACAGTTCAAAAACATGAAGTCATTTATTTCAACAATCAAATGTATATTTACTTAAGGTTTTCTCTGTTTCTGGTAATCATTTCAGCACCTGAAATGACATTCATTATTTCTCTAAGTTGCATTAATATTTTTGAAGCATCTTAACATTTCTATAGAAACTCTTGAGTCCAGTCAGTTGACACAGACATGAAATAATTATTCGTATTAATATGTTGAAGGCTATTTAACAGTAGAAAGAAGATAAATAGCAAAGCAATAAGCTTGAATTATGTTGTTTATATTATTTATGTAGAAGCTAATTGTGTTTGCTTTTTGAAACCCTTAAGTCACTATTTCTAGCTCACAGTGTGCCACAGCAGAAGTAATTCTTACTTACTGTTCATGCACAATGCTATGCAGTCGAATAGGAGACATGAAAATAGAAAGAATCTTCTTCTGACAGTTGCTATAACGATGCTACGTTATTCTTTTAGCATGAATTGAACTTCAAATATTTTGAATGCTGCTGCTTCTCTTTGGAAGCCTATGGGTATAGTTTCATTTGAAATAGCATGGTATACGTAAGAGTTTTAAAACACAGCATGTAGTAAACTTTGATTTATTTTTGTGGGAAGAAAATTGCATGTTTTTAAATGGTCTAAAATCCATGTGAAGATCTCAGTTGTGCGGGCTTTTTTTTCTGTGCAGAGATACTTCTGTTTGTTGGAATATATATCCTGCAACACACATGGGCAGTCATACACCATTAGAAAATACCTTCCTTTCTCTTAAGGTGTGGAACAATTCACATGCCTGAAAAGCACTCCGGTCAGTCCACTTAATGATAGAAATGAAATACTCTTTACACAGCCAAGTTACCTCCTCCTTTGGGAAATTTACTGTTTCAAACAATGTTAGCATAGAAATCAGAGCTTGAGCCCCTTTGGGAATA